CAGGACTTTCTTAAAAACGTTCTTTGACACCATTATCTCACTTAGTGAAGGAGTTCTCATATGTGCTGGAGACTGGAACACAATCCCTAATTATGCTCTAGATACAACAAGCCATAAGAAACAAAAAACTGGTAAGTCTAAAGATCTAAATATCCTGATCAGGGAGATGGGCATGTTTGATGTCTGGAGGGGTCTCCATATTAAAGAAAGAGAATTTACTCATTTCTCTTCTACCCACAAAGTCCACTCCAGGAATGACCTGTTTCTGATGAACACCATTGATAGATATAAGGTGAAGGAATGCTTAATAGGAACATCTGATGTTTCGGATCACAATATTGTCTATCTGTCCATTGGTCTGACTAGTAGGCCTAAAACAACATTATGGCGCTTAAATATAGGTATTCTTAATAATGAATCCACAACAAAGGAGATTAGAAAAGAAATAAAGGAATGTGTAAAAGACAATAATAATGGGCATAACTGCTATTGATAATTATTTGGCAGCTTTGGATCTACCTTCACTAGGTCTAATCCAAAATAAAACTCTAACTGCCCCCATCACACAGAAAGAATTGGATAGTTATTGGACATTTGAAAAGTAATAAGTGCCCTGGTAGCGATGGGTTTCCAAATGAATGGTACAAGACGTTCAGGAAGGAGCTATCTCYTGTCCTGCTTGAATCTTTGAACTAGACATTGAGCAGAGCTGAGATACCACCATCTTGGAGAGAGGCTGTAATATCTGTCCTCCCTAAAGAAGGGAAAAATGTTGAATACTGTGAATCATATCGCCCAATCTCAATTCTGAATGTCGACTATAAAATTTTTACATCAATAATTTCTAGGAGAATGGAGTATTATTTGTTAGACCCAATACATGAAGACCAGACGGAATTCATCAAAGGCCATCAAACCCATGACAGCATAAGACGCACATTGCATATATTAGACCAAGCTAAAAAGCAGGGCCTCAGCGCCRCATTAATTAGTTTAGATGCAGAAAAAGCCTTTGATAGGGTCAACTGGACTTTTCTATATAAGGTATTAGAGCGTCTGGGCTTTAATAAACAATTTATTAGGTGCTTGCAGGCACTTTATGATGAACCACGGGCCAGGGTAAAAATCAATGGGCACYTAACAAACAGCTTCCAACTACACAGAGGAACCCGCCAGGGATGTTGTCTAAGTCCATCGCTTTTTGCAATATTCATTGAACCCTTGGCACAGGCCATTAGAGAGGATGTTGGGATAAAGGGAGTTAGTTTTGCAAATATAGAGCACAAGATTGCCCTCTTTGCAGATGATGTAATCACATACCCCCAAAATCCAGATATAACGCTCCCCAGAGTTATGTCAGCATTAACTGAGTTTGGTCAAATGTCGGGCTATAATTTAAACATCATAAAAACACAAGTTCTGACAATTAACTACTCACCTAGTAAATTTATAAGAAAGACATATAGATTTAGGTGGGATGCCAAAAAGCTGAAGTACCTAGGAGTATACATTTCTCGAGATTTGGATGAGTTATTTAGTTTGAACTTTGATAACCTTACTGAAAACATAAAAAAAGACTTGACAGCCTGGGCAAGGTTATTGCTGGACTTCACAGCTAGAATGGAAATAGTGAGGACTAATCTACTTCCTCGCTTTTTATATCTTTTCATGTCATTGTCTATTAGAATATCTAGTGCACAGTTTCATGCGTGGGACAGATTGATCTCCAGATTTATTTGGTCCAGGACCAGACCAAGAATAAAATTTAAAACACTCCAAATTAATAAGGAACAGGGGGGTCTGGCCCTTCCAAATTTGAGAGAATACTATTACGCATCTCAGATGAGATTCATGGTCTGTTGGTGCTCCATGGAAATGGAGACTAGATGGAAACAGATTGAACTTAGCCAGGGTGGGGTCCAACCTCAAACACGTCTGGGAGGTAAAATAGTTACAGACAAAAATGGGAATGGTATAGTTGAAGATACGTTGTTAATCTGGAAAGAAGTGGTAGATAGGTACAGATTGGCAGATGCCACTGGACTTCTGATGTGGCCCTCCTGTAACTCAAACTTCCGGCCAGAAGAATTAGATTCTTCTTTTTTAGATTGGAAAGATTGAGGGCTTGTGACTTTGTGCCAGTTTGTAGAGGGTAACACCTTTAAAATATTTGAACAACTGAAAATGGATTATAACCTTGAGAATATTTCCAGGCCAGACATTTTTACAATACAAAAATAAAAAAGGTGTTCCKCAAGAAGATAAGACTATTGTGAACATCTTTGCAAATGCTTATCCGCACCTCCCATGCAAAACTGTTTCCAAACTATATAAAGGGTTGCAGAAACATAATGGAAATAACACCTTGAATATTAAGTCTAAATGGGAAAGAGAATTGGGAGTAAAAATTACAGAGGATGTTTGGCTTTCTATGTGTGAGGCACAACAGACATCTACCAGCTCTAAGAGATGGAAGGAATTTGGATGGAAGTGCTTAATAAGATACTTTATTACACCTCAAATTACTAGTAAACATAAGAGGAGAACAACAGCAATGCTGGAGACAATGTGGACATCAGAACGCCAATCATTCTCATGTATTTTGGTCCTGCCCAAAGTTGGCAACTTACTGGGAAGGAATATGTCAAGACTACTGGGATAATTTTGGGGTATGTCACCCCAAAGATCCTAGAATTTTTCTGTTGGGGCTGATATCTGGAGAATTGTTTCAAAAAGAGGATGAGTACCTTTTTAAAGTTCTATCAATTGCAAGCAAAAAAGCAATTACACAATCTTGGCTAAAGAAACTCCCTCCCCAACTGGACCACTGGAGGGACGTCGTGGAGGAGATTCACTCTATGGAAAAACGGACATATCTTTTACGTTTGAAAGGACATTCTTACAACAAACGCTGGTCTAAATGGCTGACACACAAGAGCAAGGAAGCATAACTAGGTGTAATATCTTGTAATGTATGTAGGTATATGTATTTGTGTATGTCCATCCATCCATCCATTTTCTTCCGCCTATCCGGGGTCGGGTCGCGGGGGCAGCAGCTTCAGAAG